GCAGCTGCGGGGGGAGAGGCACGCCCGCAGGCGACAGGCCCGACGTCCCCAGCAAGCGCCGGTGCAGCAACACACGCCAGGGACCGACCCCCACGCCCTTGCTGCTGCTGCTGCTGCCTCTGCTGCTGCTGCTGCTGCTGCAGCTAATGCTGCTGCTGCCCCAGCTGCTGCTGCTGCTGCTGGCAGGGACGGGGCTGTGCCCATGTTTCTCATCGGGCTTTCGCTGGGGGGCTGGGTGGCGCTGAGGGCGGTGCAGCTGGCAGCAGCAGAAAGGCGCAACAGAGCAGCAGCAGCAGCAGCAGCAGCAGACCCGACAGCAGCAGCAGCAGCGGCGGCAGACTTCACCTACAGCCACGTCTTCCAAGACAACCAGAGCTACATGGAGTGCTGCACGACGCCCGAAGCAGCAGCTGCAGCAGCAGCAACGGACGCAGACTCCGCTGCTGCTGCAGGAGCAGCAGCTGCTGCTGCTGAGGCCCCTCTTGGGCTGCGGGGGCTCGTGCTGCTCTCCCCCATGCTGCAGCTCTCCCGCAGGCGCTACCTGCAGCGGTCGCGGCTGCTGCAGTTTGCTGCTGCAGCATTTGCTGCAGTGAGACCCCACGCGGCAGTCGTTCCTCCTAGGAAGGTAAGGGCGCTCGCATGCAGCGCTGCTGCTGCTGCAGTGCTGCTGCTGCAGTGCTGCTGCTGCAGTGCTGCTGCTGCAGTGTTGCTGCTGCTTGAAACCCTAACTAGACGTTGCTGCGTCGCTGAGCAGTGGTAGGCGCTGCAGCAGCTGCCGGTGGAGCTGCTGGAGTCGCTGTGCGTGCTGCTGCTGCTGCTCCTTTAGCTGCTGCTGCTACTTCCCGGTGCTGCTGCTGCTGCTGCTGCTCAGAGCCGCCGGCGGCACCCCCACCTGCATGCGTACTACAGCTCAGACCCGCTGACTTACAAAGAAGGAGTGCCTGCTGGAATAGCAGTGCCTTTGCTGTGGGAGATGGAAGCAGCAACAACTCCGCAGGAGCTGCTGCTGCTGCAGCAGCAAGATGCTGCTGCAGTGCTGATGCTGCACACTGTCCACGACCCCCTCTGCGACATCAGCGGCCCAGTTAGCTGCTTCTCGGAGCTCGCGGGGATCCGGGACAGGCAGCTGCTGGCCATAGAGGGGCCCCCGCTTCCTGCTGCTGCTGCAGGGGCGCAGCAGCAGCAGCAGCAGCAGGACGCCAGCAGCAGCAGCGGCGACCCGCAGCAGCACGTGCACCCCAAGCTGCGCAAGCTGCACCCCTACTTCCACCAGCACCTGCCGGACCCCCCCTCCCCCCAGCCGCATCAGCCGCAGCAGCAGCAGAGGCAGCAGCAGCAGCAGCAGGAGGTGGCGGCGAGCGTGGAAGAGATAGAACGGCGCATGCAGCAGCTAAGCCAGACCGGCGAGCAGCAGCCAAAAGTCTTCATCGCCAAGGGGGTCGATGTGCTGCACGACTTGCCCAACGAGCCGGGGCAGCAGCACCTCTTTCGGCTGCTCGCGACCTGGATCACCTGCCGCTGCCCCTAGCAGCAGCAGCAGCAGCAGCTGCTGCTGCTGCTGCAGGGGCTGCAGCAGGTGCGGCTGCTGCGGCAGCAGCAGGTGATGCTGCCGCTGCAGGTGCTGCGGCCGCTGCGGGGGCTGCAGCAGGTGCTGCAGCGGGGCTGCCGCTGCAGCAGCAGATGCTGCTGCTGCAGGTGTTGCAGCAGGCGCTGCAGCGGGTGCTGCTGCCTGCTGCAGCAGCAGGTGCTGCAGCAGGTGCTGCTGCTGCACAGGGAACGTTTTGTTGCTGCTGCAGGAAGTGCAGTAGAAGCGGTAGCAACAGCAGAGGCCGCAGCTGCAGGAGGGAAAGAAACAACTGTAGAAGCAGCTGCAGCAGAAACAGCTGCAGCGGCCCAAAAACAGCAGCAGCAGAAACAGCAACAGCAGCAGCAGCAGGGTGGCGCAGTGCAGGGAGGTCAAAGCAGCCAGGGATCGTCTTGCTGCTGCTGCTGCTGCTACATAGTTCTTTTTGCTTTTGGGTGTATCTTCTTGTTGGCTGCTGCTTCTGTGAGATTAAGGCGGGAAACTTGTGAGGGTTTTCTTGGCGTGCCCGGCGAAGCTCCAGGGTTTAGGGTTTAGGGTTTAGGGTTTGCGGGAAAAGGCTCAAGGCCTAATTAACTCTGTCCCGCAGAACCCCCAAACAGCCCCAGATCCCCCGCGATCCCCGCGGCCGCCCAATACAGCTAGCTGCAGCTAGCTGTGGCTAGCTGCTGCTAGCTGCAGCTAGCTGTGGCTGGCTGCTGCTAGCTGTAGCTACTAATGGCTAGTTGCGGTTAGCTGCTGCTAGCTGAAGCTACTAATGGCTAGCTGCAGCTAGCTGCGGCAGTTGCGGCTAACTGCAGCTAGCTGTGGCTAGTTGCAGCTAGCTGTGGCTAGTTGCAGCTAGCTGTGGCTAGCTGTGGCTAGCAGCAGCTAGCTGTGGGCTGCAGCTGCCGAAGACAGCGAAGCACTCCAGGTGTACGTACACCTCACTGTAATTTTTTTTCTGTATCCACAGAGCGCATGTGCTGCCGTAGTTCTAGTGAGGGTTTAGGGTTTAGGGTTTAGGGTTTGGAGGCCTGCCCTGGCGGCCTCCAAACCAGTGGCCCTGCAGCAAAATTTGCTGCTTTGGGAAAGCCTCGAGAGGGGAAGCAGCAAATATGGAAATGAGCAGCAGCAAATGAGAAGAGAAGCAGCAGCAAATATGCATGGGAGCAGCAGCAGATGCAGATGAAAGCAGCAGCAGACAAAGATGAGAGCAGCAGCAAATATGAAAAAGAGCAGCAGCAAAGCAGCAAATATGAATCGAGGCAGCGGCAAGCATGAAAAGCAGTAGCAGCAAATGTCCATCGGGTAAGGGCGGTGGCTCAGCTGCGGCTCAGCTGCGGTTTGTTGCTAGTTCAATGTTTACTCCTCAAGGGTTTAGGGTTTAGGGTTTGAGCTGGCGCAGGTCTCGTTCATTGAGACAGCCGCATAAACCGTTTGAAGAAGCCTCCAAATGGCTGCTGGGGCGTTGCTGCCACAGCTGCTGCAGCACTTCGTGCTGCTGCTACTGCAGCAGCAGCTGCTGCTGCTGCTGCTGCTTCAGTAAATCTTCCGTCTCATTTACGAATTTAGAATAGCTTAAAAGCACACGGGAAGCCCCAGTCACGCACCGGAGGCGCGGCCGCCAGGCCTGCGCTGCTGCTGCTGCTGCTTCCGCTGCTGCAGCCGCCGCTGCTGCTGCTGCTGCCGTAACTGCTGCTGCAGCTGCTGCAGGCAGTCTTTCCCGTTTGCTTCCTTCGTTGCTGCATCTTCTGCTAAATATCAGGTGAAAAGCAAAGACAATTAAATGGTGGAGGCCAGCAAGCCACAGGCAAAGGAACCCCCCAGCGCCCGCTCCCTGCGATGCTCACAGAGCAGCCCCAGCTGCTGCTGCCGCGGCGGATTGCTGCATGCTGAGGCGTTCTTTCTTAAAATTTGAATTGTTTTGTTTTCCTTCTCCGTTATTGGCGTTTTAAAACTCTTCTGTAGGTACAGTTGAGGGCTTCACGTGAGGTGTACGCGCAGCTCGCTGACCGGAGCAAAGAGCCAGAGCAGAACCTTAGAGAACGGGGCTGTGGGAGCGGGGCCGACTGGGGGCGTTTGGTTCTTCTCAGCGGCTAAAGTAATTAACATTTAATCTTTCATTAATATTGTTTTCATTATTTGGATGTAGGGAGGCAGTCTGGAGGTGGTGCGGCGGCAGCGGGGGTCGTGCAGCGCTCTCACTGCAGGGGTTGCTGCTGCTGCTGCGGCTCTCGGTGCTCCTGCTGCTGCTGCTGCTGCTGCTGCTCCTGGGCTCTGTTCGGCCTTTGCAGCTCGAGATATCCGAGTGTTTGACTAAAAACGAATTATTGCCGTTGATGGCCCCCAACTTCGGTGTCCCCAGGCCCAGTCCGCCCGCGTCGCCGCCGCCGCTGCTGCTGCTGCTGCTGCTGCTGCTGCAGCTGCAGCAGCTGCACGGCGCCGCAACTTTCGCCAGCAACTTCCCAGCCCCTTGCTGCACCAATGGAGGACACGCCGTGCCCCCCCGAGGAGGCTTTCTCTGGCAGAGACTCCCTTGTTGCTCATCTTGAAAGCCACCTCTCCCGAGGGTCCTTCAGTTCGCTGTACACAGCAGACACGGGGGCCCCCCGGAGCTCGGGGGGCCCCTCTAGCCGGGGGCCTTTCTGGCGGCCGGAGAGCGAGGAGGATATGAGTGACGCGGGGGCTTTCCCGCGTCTCTTTTACCTGCAGCGGCCGCCG